ATACAGGGTGCGCCAGAACTCGCGCCCCAGAGAAAAATGCCATATAAGGTAAGATACCAGGAACATGGAAAAAATGTAAAAAAAAAATTATCTATAAAAATTTCGAAGTTAGAGGGTTTAAAGTTTGCACTTTGACTCTATTTATTTCTGTTGGAAAAATAATTTTCCAAGTTTTTTTGCTATAGGCTATTAAAAGAGGAAACAAGGAAGCTGTATCCTAAATTGTAACTCTGTTCAATGTTATTTGTGGCTTTTATTGGCAAAATTTTTGTCCCTTTACTAAATAATTGTAAAAAAAAAAACATATACAAGATCATCAGTATCATTCAATAGATATAAAAAAATGTCAAATGTCAAAAAATATATGTCAAAATTTTTTGACAGATAGAATTTTTTTAAACATTTTTTTCATGTTCCTGGTATCTTACCTTACATGGCGCACCCTGTATTTCTTGCAAATATTTAATAGAGACATAATAGGAAGAAGTGTTGTATTTTTAGCCGACGCGTGTCATTTATGAGCGAGGTAATGCACTAATATTATTTTTTACGTTGGGTAAACCGAGGACAGTGAAAATGTTTAGTCTGGTGAAGAGGTTTACAATTGTTAATCAAATGATTTTACGACGTCCGTTGTGCGAAAATTTCACTTGTGGTCGATTTAGAGAGCTCTTTTCTGTCTCTAATTGGCCGATTTGTATCTTCACCTTGCAACGACCACACAACTTCAAATCCTGTTTACTGGCGCCACAATATTTTCCTATCCTATTACGGCTAACTCATTGTGAGTTATTCCTTATTATTCAAGAAAAAATCACTTCTTTGGAGTTTGCTTTATTAATAGAGTGGTTATAATCCGGATTAAAGTCTCTGCTACGTGTGAAATCTCTCGCCCCGTGAGACGAATCAATTTGTAATTGACATTGCCGATGGTAGAGTTGTGACAATTTAACAAAACGTTTGAGTGCCTTAATAGACACAATTTAGTAATTTGGGAAAAGATCAAGATAATAGAAGCGATTGCTTCATCATGTAATCGCCTGTAATATAAATTTATCGATGAAGCCATTAGGGCCTTCTTGTTCGATTTTTATCTCGGGGCAAGATTGGGTTTGCTGTACTCGAAATTCACTAAACGCCTAATTAGAGGTGCATCTTAACGAACTACTTGACACTGCATGTCTAAGTGGTAATTATGTTAATTTCTTGTTTGCACATGCTTGGCTTGAGTGCATTTCCATTAAAACCTACATTGTATCAAAATAGAGAAAACTATTCTAATTCAACTTATTTGCGTGCATCGGGGCGGTCCCTGAAAGACAGGTTCGTAATAAGAGACTCTTTATGTTAATATCCGTCTTTATCCTCGGACAATTTTATCATTGATGGTAGTTTAATTAGACGCAAGGAAAATGATAAGTTGTGTCAAAAAATGTCATCAGGAAGTTTGAATTTGTGATTGAACAGAAGACGTTTCAATTATCAGCGCTGGTGTTCGACTTCAAAGGGATTGCGAGGACTTGACAGGTCAGTATTAATAACTGGGAGATGAATAGGAGATCTGTCATAACATGCGAATCAAATACAAATGGCAAAGGAGGTTTATCGACTTTCCGAATTCAGGGAGAAGTTATAAATAAATGACACAATGCGGATTTGCGGTTTTGGAGAGCGGTATTTTTAAAAATATTGCAGCATGGCGAAAAAATTTCAACGATGGGGAAGCAAAACAAAATTACAAATCCAAATAACGTACATAATTTTTTATAATGTAGGTATAAAATATGAATTCTATATTTTCTAAAAATGCCTGAATTTGTTTTCCACGTTTTTTTCTTAGAAGTGATTAGGTGTTTAGTGCTTTGAAAACAGTCAAAATTTCTTGTTTATTGAAAATGTAAAATTTTCATATCTTTTTGATGATTTCGCAGCCACTAAACTCCTGTTTACGCCGAAAAAATCAAGGAAAATGCGGCCGTTTTCGCTGGAAGACGGTTTTATTTTGACCATCGCGTTGTAAACAAGGTAAAATAGGTGTTTGATGGGACGTAAAGTGCATTTAATGGTCACGATGTGTGATGTTCCGGAGGTAAGAATGGACGGAAGGCGGCTCGAGATTGTGGCAATTAGTCTTAGCAAATTGCTTGGTATTATATCTTTTTTTCAATTTCAATGAGATTTATGTGACAGCTCCTATTAGCACTTGAAATAAATTGGTCTAATTGTAACGCAGTTAACTGTTATTATCCGGGGGAATATAATATGAGCGCAATTATCTTCATAAATATTTTAACCCCTGGAGTTGATTCGGACTCGTGTGTCAAGCTAAAGCGGGATTAGAAATCGGAAGTAAATCCTCTTAGAACTAAGCTCTAGTTCTACTGTTCCTAATCTGTCGATAAATACCCGAAACACAAGTCACACGAGGAATTTTGGGTCCGATTTCGGCATGCTCATAAATCCTCATTTAATTCAGGCAATTTCGATGCAAGCCAATTCCGGGTGCTCTTTCAGCATCTGAAACACGTCTAATTATGTAATTTTTCATGATACCACTTGTAATTATGTGATTAAGGAAAATATAACACGCAGATTTAGAAAGGAAATTCCTGGAACGAATTTACATATCTTAACTAAAAAATGAGATTTTAATTAAATACTTTGCATTTGTCATCTATAATTAATGTTGTGCTTCTATCAACTTACTAATAAATCATAAATAAGAATTTTTATGAGAGGCACGATTATTGTGGCCGCATTTTACTTGCAAAATGTTTCTTACAGCGACATGGCGCTGCATGAAACCACAATCTGAAATGGAAAAATAAAAATAAAACTAAAGTTTTAACAATGCGACGAATACGTTAAATAAGGGACATTTGTGGTGTCGTTTGAGCAAAAAAGAAACAAGAAGAAAGGAAATAAATACAAAAAGTGTGTCTAATAATTTTACCATAAAATAAATAATCGTTTTTTAGGAAAAAAAAGTGTTTACAAATTTGTCAAAAGTATTATAAGCAACAATAATTATCGTACCCAAAACGGTATTTTGTTTAGGTAATTTAAAGAATTTTCATCATTTAGAGCCACTTCCCATCATAATGTTTTTTTTATTGATTATTCGTGTTTGAGTTTTATTTTAGTTAAAAAAAAAAAGTTCTCTCAGGAAATAATTCTGCCGCTTAAGGATATCCAGCCACGCAAATCTATGGCCCCTGACCAACCTACAAGTGACTTATCTTAGCGGGGGCTAATTTACGATTCGCGTCGTCTACCCTTATCCGTCGCCATTTTTAACCGCATCCGATAACCGTCCGAATTCAATTTGAGATCCAAACCGAAGAAAACAACTCTCGACGCATTTAACGAGGTGTAACACTTGCATTCGACCGGAATCTGGAATTATAATCCCGCATATGATATAAACGAGCGCACTTTGATAAAAAGCGATGATAACGTTAGCCACTTGGTATTGTTTCTTGCAATCTTCGCATCTATGACCGGCGGTTAGGACGATAACCGCGACCTACAACTACCACCTCGTTAAAATTCAATCCAGTTCTCTGATAATTATTAATACCTCGACTATTTTTTAAATAAATAAAACGAGATAAATACAACGCGGAACCGTACCTAAATAAATAATAATAATGGTTTGAGTAAACTGTCAATCAACATGACTATAAATCAATAAATGGTATTTACTAACCTTGCAAGATCCGTCGATACAGACACCACGAGTGCCTTTGGGAGCAGGGCGGCCGTAAGAAGTTAAAGGGCGGCTGCAGGAAGTGCCGTCGATGACGGTTTTGTTGAGGGTGGCGTAAAAATTCAAACCGGAAGCTCGACAATTGAGCGCGCATTCGTCAGGTGCTGGAAAATTCATAAAAAATGTTGCAATAAATTGTTTTAATGGCGACTATCCAATTTTTTCAGTTTTCTAATTTATCATATGGATGTATAATATCCAGCAGTCATTAATGTCTGATTTTTATAAATTATACCATTCATTGATCACACGAACAAACATTATTCTTATAAATTGGCAGAAGATAAAAATTGATTTCTTTTAATAAAATGAATTAAATTTATTTCAGAAAACAGATGTGTGGTGACCTTTAACCAATAGTTAATTAAATTAGTCGTAAATATAAATCAAAGAAACCCCAAAAATAAATTGAATCAATTAAATTTCAGATAGCATTATTTTTTAAACAAAACTAGTCCCTGGATAGGTCATCTTGACCTGATATTTATTTCCGTAAAATGAAATAACTTTATTTCCGAATAAATAAGTAAACAAATTATAATTACAAAATAATAATTACAAACAATGTAGATTCATAAAAATTTTAAAATACTAAAATTACGTCATGAAAAAGAAGTCTGTGATTATTTTATAGGAAATTATAATAAATCAAAACAAGTTTTGAAGAATAAATGATTTAAATGAAACATCATATGAAACAACGCAACCATTAAAACTCACTAAAACTAGCTCTATTTAATTTCATGCAACATGAAACAGAAATAAGCAACCAGTTAATTACATTTGAACTCTAAGCGTATAATTGGTTGCATATGTACTAGATTAAGTAATAGATCTGTTTTAAAAACCTAGGAGTATTTCAAATTTTGAGCGCTTGAGTTCGCGTTTTTTTGTTTTTTTTTATTCTTTTAGCCTTTGTCCTTTTGCTTATTAATCTTACCATTGAGGAAAGGTTCCCAAACGTACATTTTCCCCTTGAACAGCCTGTGGTTGAATGCGGCACATTGTTCGTACCGAAAGTCCCTTCCCGACGGACAATTCTGCTTGAAACAATACAAAATTATCTCGTATACAACTAAATAACTTAAAACAGAGCGGGACCACAAGCCAAGCACGCAGTAAGTAATTAGAATCACAATATATTCACCTGTGTATTGCAAAGATGAATCCTCTTATACAAACCCACGCAACCATTTGCTTGTCTTCTCCGTCTTTGTCCTCGAACAAATCTGAAAATAATTAGAATTAAATCCGGTCCTGAAATAAACATGTATGTCAAGGAAATGAAATTGAAACAATCAAAATAGCAATAAAATTTTAATCTACTGACACAGTTTCCATTAATTATTATTTGTTCGAAACACAATTTTTGAGTTGGGTGCAAGAAAGGTGAATTTTGCCCCTTTCTTAAAAGATTGCCTGCGCATTTGTGCCCCCACAAATTGGCCAATTGGTGCATTTCAGCACCTGGTGGGGGTTTTGTGTTACTCTCCCTACTCGGAACTCTGGAGAAACTGAAAGCAAATATATGGAAGTAATTTTATCACAGGACGGGTAAAATCTAATACTCCTAATAAATTAGGTTTATCAAATTTACTCGTCGGGTGGAACACGTCGACCGCGGTAATTATGTGTAAACGCGCTATAATAATAGATCAGGGATGTGATTTATCGTCAAACATCTCAGTATAATCATGTACAAGAGGTCTCGCCTTCGGTTACAAAAAGACCACGATGGGAACCTCCGGCTCCAATTAATTTCTCCACAAAATCATAGCAAAATAATAAGAGATGACATCGTGCAAGTGGTATGGCATTTGACAACGATCCTGATTTAATGCCTCATTGTTCCGGAGCAGTGAAGTGGTCAGGGCGTGAGATAACGTCATTTCCTCTATTCTGCACGCCCGATTATGCTGATAATGCAAAGAAGACACCAAAAGGCGGTTCCAATATTTTTACAAACAGGTGGCCACGAGATATTTCGTAAATGGGAATAAATCACATAACATCAGAATTTAATTTGTTGGTAAATAAGACAAAGTGAAAAAAACAGGGTGGCCCAGCTAAGATTTTTTTGACATAGAAACAATGATTTGTAAAAATACTTAAAACTTGGCAGATACCTACTTTTAGTCAATTAACTCAAAAAAATAAGAAAAAAAAGTTAATATTTACACAAAACTCAAATAAATGAAACAAAACTTGTAACATGGTTATTGATTTTCAATTGCAGAAAAATGCTTATTAATATAAGATTTCTAAAAATATACGAATTATTTTTGAAATGGTGGCACCGTCACGCATTAGCATATGAGTTATTCGATACTCCAGGGGCGAGGCGCCACTTCATTAAACACACAAACACTTGTTTGGGATCCTAGAGCGTATATTTTCCTCGCGTATAATTGAAGCTGACAGCAGAAAGAAACGTAAGTAAACAGTTAAAAGGCAGCCCTTTATCATTTTACAACACGGAGTAATTAACCGGAATGACCACTGCTAAAGTAAAATCACGACTCGCTTTTGTACAAACGTCTAATAAAGTCTCGACGTGAATAAACTAGCACTGATTATATTTCTATTACCGTCATAATTCGTGTCTTACAATTAATTTGAATTTTATTGCGACTACATAAATTTAATTTAATAAATTATCGCCGCTTATTAACAAGACAGATTCAGCATGAAATGATAATTATGTGTCACATAAATTAATTTGTGCGTGTGGCAAATTAACTCCTCAGCGATACAAACAACCCATTTTCGACTGATAAACACATGGAAGTATTCGCACGATAAACACCCGGAAATTTTTGCAACTTGCTAAATATTGAGCCTAGTTTGTAACGAGAATCCAACAGAGAACGCCTTAAGAATCAAAATCAAAAAATTATAAACAAAATACAAACCGAATTTTAGTTATACATAACAGTCCGTTGTCCCTACTATCTTTACCTATATTGATTAGTTAAGATACTAAATTCGAGTCTTTATACTTGATTTACTGAGCTACCGTCTTTGACAAGTGTCTCTGCTACTGATGACTAACTCAAATTTTGCAAAAATTATTTTTCGCGATTCTATATTAAGTTTAGGTGTTTAGTCCACTTTATTTTCTCCTTTTTTATTTTATACTTTGAAAAGTTACGTCTTAAATTCGAACTTTTTACGCGCCTGGCAACTAAGACAGGTCCCCGGGATTTCCCCGGAGTTTGATAAGCGTCATAAAAGATGGTCAAAGTTTAAAAATTAATTCTTGTGTTGACGTGAAAGATACCTTACTCGTGCAACAATGCAATAAAATGACGACGAAATATAAGCGCGGCCGACCATCTGATTGTCGAATTACTGCGATCAACTGCGCGGAAAATTGGGAATTTATTCTGGTTTCAATACAGAGGAGATCATTTGTAAGTGCTCTAATGGCACAAAGGCAGAGTTTTTTTATCATTGCATTTAAAGATCTTTGTGCCGGTTTAAATTTCACGCCAGAGGTGACATTTTCTTGGTTTCATTTGGCATTTTTCAATCCGATTATTATTTCAGTGTAAAATATCCAACTCATGTCGTATTCTGGCAACATTCTAATACTTTTGTTTACATTACTGGCAAAGTGAGAATATGCATGTTGGTTGAAAGTTTACAACCATGACTAACCACTTGAATACATAATTCTGTCACGAGATGATACTAGCACTATTTCTTATTGGATCGGATTTTCCGGTCTTGACACACTCGGCCATTACGAAGTGGCACCAAACTCTTGTCTTTTAATTAAACGAAAAAAAAGCTTTTTCTCCTAGACATATAATTTCCTCATTGGTTATAAAAAAGCTTGGAGGCATTTTCAATTACCAGTTGTGGACATTTATAACCCCAGAATAAACAACTAAATATGTATTAGCACGGAACGAGGTCGGGACGTCATCTTTGAAATGACAGGTTGTAGAGGTATCGATCAGGACCTGACTCGATACATATTTGAAGCATTTTAATTAATTAGGGCAACAATTTGATTTAATAATCTGTCGGAATTAAACTGAAGAATGAGTTCCGCTATTCCTAAAAAAGTCATGGTTAAATACTGGGTTTTAACCTAGTTACAAATGCCCACTCAAACATATTATAATAACATGTTTACGGCTGCTTTGTCCCTTGCATTAATCAGAGAAAACGTGTTTTTTGATATTGGATTATTTACAGTAGCGGTGTTGGGAAACTTTGAGACGTTTAAACCCACGATTGGGTTTAAATATGACCCATGAAGAAATATGAAGTTTGCCTGATTTATTTGATCCTAAGGCAGAAGCTTAAATCTAAAACTTTTATTTCATTTTAAAAGACTCAGTTTATGCGGTTTATGGAGAAAACCTCTTCCCATGTCTTATGTGATGGTATTCACTAATTGTTTATCACTGTTTATTGTGTCTGTTTTTTACACATCTAATGTAGGTTTACAATAGTATATTAAAAAACAAGTGTTACAAACACTCTCATTATGATATGAGTAGATTGTGACACGAGCCACGCAGTGGCGAGTATCACAAATATGGGCGAGTAGAGGGAGGCCCTTGCCCCTCTGGAATTATAGAAGTTGCTATTTTTTAAATAAACTATTGTCTTAAGAAAAAAAGTGTATTTCCTTATGTTGCCCCTCCTGTCAAAAATATCTGCGGGCGTCCATGTCTGTGTAGTACACTACAGAATAAATATTGTCTTTGTAAACGGCCAAACCTCAATCGTTTTACAGCTTTGATCAATTTCTCACAACTTAAATGAATATTGTTATCGTTTTAATTTCCTTGGGCTGCAATAAACATTTACTCGGTCATTCGCAAACTTCACCACAGTTCAATACAAGTAACTTTTGATTTAGTAACGTATTTTCGTGAAAGTTTCCTTTTGTCGTAGTTCTTTTCCTCAAGAGAGGAGTCTCCGTCTTATTCGTTTTAGGATATAAAGATATATTGGTCGTTTCATAAAAGAGTAAACTTCTTTCACTGCGGTATCATATTACTTGGAAAATGAAATCATATCTGATATTTCAACATGAAATTAATCAATCAGAGAATATCCAACCGAGCAAATCGATGCGATGAATGATTTTTCTGATCCATCATTGATAAGAGCAAATGATGTAATAAATCAACGAAACAAAGTCTTACCTCGTATCAGCAGGTCGGTTGATACAATGTCTCGTCTGTTGCGTGACGCCACCCCCACAGCTTCTCGAACACGTCGTCCACGGCCCCCATGCTGACCATACTCCCACCGTCTTCGGCGTTTTCTTCAGCAGACGGTCGCGGAACATGTGGTGCACCTTGAAATCGTCCAAATTAACAACTCATTTCTTCAAACAAAAGAAAGCTAAGTTTAGAAAAGAATTTTAAAGTTTGTCTCTTCGGATGTTAGGCGAACGTTTGATGAATAGCAAAAAGCAATGCACAAAGCTGCCATTATTTATGCCTAACGAATGTACAATGCACAACTCAATTGCGGTGCGCTTTGTATGGATCAAGATGGATAGTTGCATTACGGCATAATTTAAGTGGAATAGGACGCCTCTATCTGTGACAATGGCGAGGCTTTGTGTTAGGAAAAAATAGATTTTGACGCGACATGAGGAGAGAAATGTTTACTTGGATGGCGCGAGCTCCTGTGGTGGACATGGAGGCCAATAAACGCCACGGAGGTATTGTCAGTGTGATTCTCATCTGATATGTCAGAAGCTTGATTTGCCTTTAAATTGATTCGACGGATAATTAATAGAAACACAAAAGAGAAAAAAAAGTATAAAAGGTTAACTTCGGTTTTAAGAATTGAAGAAGTAACTGGAAACGTAATTTGTAAAGTATGTAATAAAAAATAATGCTCATTATATTTTTGAAATCATATTTTTAAATTTTTGCAAGAAAATGGAAAAAATTAACAAAAATATAATATACAAAAAAGTGGTAACTCTTCTTCATTTTTGTTATCTATAAAATGTCCTTATCGTATCTGTTTTAGATCCTCTCCGATTAAAAATCTTGATTGACCTCCCCAGAATTCGAACAATCTCCCTCCTCGAAAATCTTTCTCTAATTAATTATTTTCTCCATTTAATTCGCTTTGATGTTACGAAACAATTCCTATTCCGAGCTGTTAGATGTTAATTAGAACGAATTTCTAAACAAATAAAGCGATCCAAATGGGCCGTTATTTACATTTTAAGGACTCACAATATCTCTGAAGTATCTGCAAGTGCCTGTTTGACTCGAAGAATCGATTTATCAGATCTCAGATCCCTAATCTCACACTATTAGAATTTCGCAAGAGGGCGTTTTATTGATGCAATTTATAAAAAATTTAATAAATATCAGGAAACTATGTCGTTTTTCTGCACTTAAACGATAACAGTAGCAATTTAATTTTTTACAGCCTTTTGTGCTTTGTGTATTTATTACTATGGTGGCGATAATAGTACAAAGTAAGCAAAATCAACTCATTGAATTTTTACAAAATTCCAAGAAATGAGACTGCTTGTCATCTCATCTCTGCAATTCTTGCATGAAATTGCTTTATTATTGCGAGTGAAGCTGTTACAAGACAACAATAATAATAGTCTTTGATTTTCATTCCCGATTTAGCTCAATTTTTTTAAAATTATAATTGTAGTATCTTTTTTATTTTTTAACTGCTAAACTATTCTTCATTTTCATTCAAATCCTGCCAAGTTAATGAGTTGTACAAAAGGACCAAACCAATTACTAATTTAATACAATAGCGAGAGCCTCTCCAGTGTAATTTAGTATTCTCCATTAAATATATTATAACTGTGTTTATAACAGCTCATCATTTATTCTCAATTCTCGCACCTCGGCTACATTAAGTGTCTTATCGTTGCCGATCATCTAAATCTGAACAAAAACTCTCGTAAAATGGTCTATTGTCGTTATCAAGATTTATCGACCTTTTTAAAATCGTTTAACTGCCATACTGAGAAAATTACAACAAATTTTGACATTAGCAGTGAATTAATATCAATTTGGACCAAATAATTTGAATTAATTTAATCTCGACTTTGGCGGCTTTACTATACAAAATTAATTTTTGTAAGCAATAGAACAGTATACAATTTAAAAAATTGCTTAGTACTATTATGCAATACAACATTTTTTGGAGAAACTTTGATAAAACGTATTTATAAGGTAATGGAACCGGTAGATGGCATCTTAAGGAATAAAAATCACAAATGTAGCTAAGAAATGATTATTTTACTAAACGTTATTAATGTGCTAGTGTATAATATAACTATTAAGATCTATGTTATATACAAAATATTTTAAATAATGCCAAATGTCTTTAAAATTGCAAATTCACCAGCAGAAGACACTATATTTTTAATGTTCATTTCTAATAGTTTAATAGTTTACAAACATAAGTTTAAAATACAATAATTTTTCCAGTAAAAATCACTGTTCTGATTTACAGCACTTGACAAATCAAAAAACATTTGCGACCATAATAAACTTGTGAAAAAAAAGAGTTAGAAGTTTGAAAAAGTAGCTTTGTTCACTTTGCTTTTAATATAAAGATGCATATTATTTCAATAGTTTTAAAATCTAAGTGTGAACTACTAACTCACTGTCAAGTTTCACGAAAAATATATTTCTGCACCAAACAAGTTACATACTCGTACATCAAAAATTATCTTAATTATGAAAATTCTTAAATACACTGTCCTGATTAAAATTTGAATGCTAGATGTTTTTATTTGCAAATATTTCTCAAGAATCAGTTTCTGTACTACCAATTATAAAAATTTCGTGTAATTATCGCTATTTCGGCATCGCATGCAAATCCTGTGCAAACAACGTCCCCCGAGCAATTTATTAATAAAAATTCAACAATTTATGGCCGTTTTAAATTACCAACCAATTTTTCCCGACGTGCAATAACTCATCGTAACCGTTTTTAAGACACCCATGTGGGAATAATCGTGTCCCGCCCCCGCGTTACGCCACTGGTTTTGTCATCCGATGATTGAGCCTCAACTAACACGACAAAAGAAAGAACAAATCGTCTTTCCATGTAATCCGATAAGAAACAATTTATCAGATCATGTGGGTGTCTATAAAGATGTTCACACAAACTCACTTGAAGTGGATATGGCTTGGCTTTGGAGTCGTACATCATCCCTAGGTCAAAGAGGAGAAGGGTTGCCGCCGCCCTGAAAAACAAATTTAATTTAATTCAATTGATTGATCGAAGTGTGTATAAATAATTAAAAGATTTTTAAAGCAACACCTCGATAATGGCTTGCGGCACGCAACGTGAATTATTGTTCTGGATTCTTTCAGTGCAGGAACAACCATGAGAAATGACCATGGGTCCAACACCCATCTGCGTCCAGACGATGCAATTCGTAGAGGAAAAATCGTGCAAGTGGCCAGTTCGTCGTCGACTGCAAATCCAAACGAAGGACCAGACCCGGAGTTATTAGACCGCTATGACAATTTTTACGAAACAACGAAGAGTCTCTTGGTACTATTCCAGATTATGGGTGTTATGCCCATCGAGCGGTCGGGGAAAGGCAAAACGACTTTCAGGTAAAACGTGATTTAAAATTGGATTTAGGTATTTATTATTTTTTTTTAGATGGTTATCGTCAACCTCGATTTATGCCTACTGCATCTTCGCCGCTGAAACGATTTTCGTCACTATGGTCTTCAAGGAGAGATTATACCTAATCCTCCGCCCGGGCAAGAGATTCGATGAATACATTTACGGCATAATTTTTTTGAGTATTTTAATCCCGCATTTTCTATTACCAGTCGCGGCTTGGACTAACGGCACGGAAGTCGCAAAATTTAAAAATATGTGGACTAGGTTTCAGGTAATTGTGTGCTGGAGTCGTTAAAGTTCTATCAAGTGGTATAGTTGTTTGTTAGATCCGTTTTATGTCTAGTTTGTGTCACTTTACAACGGGACATTATCGTAAAGGAGGGTTTTTAGATTGGGTTAGGATATGGTGATTGGTGTTAATGGATGAAGATGTTTTCAGGTTTTGTCGCTGATAAATGACACAAGCTGTGTTAGCGGCTGTGTTGAAACAGCTTTAAACAACCATAATTTAGCATAATTTATTTAAAAAAAATAAACAATAAATTATGGAAAATTAAGTGGCTTCGTTGATATAATTTAACACGTCTATAGGAAGCTTGAGAAAGTTATAAAATGTTATTTTATTTTTGTTTATTCCACTTTTATGTGTCTGACTGTTTTATATTATTACAAGCAGAGTTTACCTTAAATTATAATCCAAATAAATAACATGCTAAATTTTTCTACAATTTCCCGGAAAACACCTAAAAGTAACAATTTATGATAATCAAAAGCTTATAAAAACTCCAAAAGTATGCCCTGTATATGTGCTACTGCTCCAGAACTTGCGCCACAGAGAAAAATTTCAAGTAAGATAAGATACCAGGAACATAGAAAAAGTGTTTAAAAAATTCTATCTGTCAAAAAATTTTGTCATTTATTTTTTGACATAAGACATTTTTTTATGTTTATTTAATGATACTGATGATCTTGTATATGTCCAAAAATTTTGCCAATAAAAGCCACAAATAACATAAAACAAAGTTACAATTAAGGATTTAGCTTACTTGTTTTCTCTTCGTATAGCCTGTAGAAAAAAAAAACTTGTAAAATTATTTTTTCAATAGAAATAAATAGAATCAAAGTGCAAAATTTAAACTCTCATAAGTTCAAAATTTTTATAGATAATTTTTTTTTAAGATTTTTTTCATGTTCCTGGTATCTTACTTTATATGGCATTTCTCTCTGGGGCGCGAGTTCTGGCGCATCCTGTATAATTAGTAAATTTAACATAATAACACTTAAAGAATAAATAATACTACCCAACAAATTTAATTTTTTTAATGTGATTGATCTATTGACACGAGTATCAGGGTACATTAACATCCCTAATTACGAATTTGATAAGAAAAATTCTCCATCACGTACAGATTTTAAGTTACAGGAAAATAGTTTTCTCAAATTTTATCGTAAAAATTGTTCATTTCAAATAGAAATTAATTAAATAGACGACGAAAGAAATTCTAACCTAAATCTGTTGTAGATGAGTTTTTTGCAAAAGCTGACTTTCTTTTGTAGAGTATTTTAACTTCTCTTATCAGGAACCAGCATCCCCCATCATAGCTGGATCCCATCTCCCTTGGTACTTCTTTTCCATCGTCAATATATCCTGGTGGAACCTTTTCCTTGTTCGTCACTAACGGCACCCAAATTTGGGGGAAAAAAATTGAAATGAGAATGGAGAAAATGAATTTAAGTGTTTCGTTTTTCGGCGATTTTGTCTAACATATTTACTTACATATGATATCCAAAATGCCTAACTTTAAAATCTGACGTGCTATAGAATTTTCTTTATCATTTTTGAGTTTAGCACATAGAATTGAACAAAAAATAACTGTTTTCTTCTCAGTCACAAAATGCTTGTTGGCTAGTGTAATTTATTTAAAAAAATGTTTTCAGATTTCGAGCACATCTGGTCAAGAGCCTTAGCTATTTGGCAGTTCATAAAAATTATCAAAAATTTGCTTTTTCTATGTTAATACGTAGATCAAATTTGCTTGTTTGATTTTGTGTAAGTATGTAGGTAAATAAAGTACCGCGAGTATTATGAGGAAATGAAACATACAGATTGGTCAACACTTGAAGTTTGCTCCAAATTTCAAAAAAACTTTATTTCTAGCTCAAGTACTATCAAGTGACCGGAACGCCCATCATCTTCCACAACCTCTCCCTCATCACCTACTCCCTCTGTGTGATCTCCTGGGCCGTGGGCATCGTCATCATGCTAGCCCAGTACTACCTCCAAGCCGACATGCTCCTCTGGCACACTTTCGGCTATTACCACATCCTCGCTATGCTCAACTGTCTCTGTTCCCTCTGGTTCATCAACTGCACGGCCAAAGGCCGCGTCGCCGTCTGGATGTGCAACAACCTCAACAAAGCTCTTGAATCGCGTAATCCTGCCAAAATCCTAGGAGCCTATCGAGATCTCTGGGTCGACCTCTCCCACATGATGCAACAGTTGGGGAAGGCATACAGTGGCATGTACTCCATGTACTGTCTCTTGATTTTGTTGACGACCATTGTGGCCAGTTATGGTTCCGTGACGGAAATCCTGGACCAGGGAATTTCCTTCAAGGAAGCTGGCTTGTTCATGATTGCGTTTTATTGCATGACATTGCTTTATATCATATGCAATGAGGGACATCATGCCACTAGGAAGATGGGGCCGGAGTTCAGGGAAAGGTTGTTAAATGTTAATTTGAGTGCGGTGGATCAAAAGACAAGAGAGGAGGTGCATATGTTTCTGACGGCAATTGACAAGAATCCGCCCGTTATGAATTTGAATGGATACGCGAATGTCAACAGAAAACTGATTTCTTCGGTAAGGTAAAAAGAAATAAACTAGAATTATAATTATAATTATAATTCAAATTTATTTATTCAAAAATGACTTACAAGTAAATACATTTAAAATCCTTTAAAAATGAAGCTTCCTAAAAATAAAAAGTTTAAAGTAACAATATTTCATGAAACTTGTGGAGAAAAGCTTCATTTTCTTTATTCAGATAACGTGTTTTTAGCTATTAGCTAAATACTCAGTTATTATACCACGAGTAATCAAATATTGTCGAATATTTTTATGAATGGTCATTCGTTTACCATACACGAATGGTTTTCGCAAGCGTAATGACCATGAATAAAAATATTCTACAATCTTTGACTACGAATGGTATTCAACAGACTATTCAATGAACCAAATAACAAATTTGCGTTACACATGATTTCGTTGTCATAGCAAAGTTGAATATCCAGTTATATTTTACCACGAGCGGGGAATATCCGCTAGAATTTGCTGTTGTTAGGATACGAAAGTAAATCTCTGCTTCTTTGTTGGTTAATATTTTTAAAAAGAAAGGTGAATTGAATAGTCGTATATATTTTTAAGTACAACTTTCTCATTACCTACAGTGGCAAATCTAGCCTCTGAAAATTGCCGGAGCTTGAGTCGGGATTCAAAATTTAACACTTTTTATACAATAAAACTCAAAGGTATTAAGAAAAAAATTATTTACATATTAACACACACAAGATGAACAAAAAGTATGTGACCAATCGGTTTTTTTAATCATCTGTCTTCAGAAAATAATAATTAATAAAAATTAAGGTGCTATAAAAAATTTCATCGTATTAAGTTATGCGATTTTTTTTTCAAAATGAAAACTTATATGTTTTTTTTTTCGATAAAAATTGAATAAAATGTAAATAGTTGAAATTCTTGAATTATAGTCTTTGTAAAAAAAGTTTTATAGTGAGTTGCCATTTAAAAAAAAATAAAAAAATTCAGAACTCAAAAGCAAAAAAAAAAAATCGAAATTTATATTCTTTAGAAAAGTCACATTTTTATAATTAATAGTACCTACTCTATTATTCATCAATTCGTTTTTTTAATAAACACACAATAAACGCACTTTCTTTTCACCAGGTATATATGCATTCTTTTTAACAGGTGATGATGGTATGCATTGTTTTTAAGAGTGTAGCCCAAAACATCTTAGTCAAATGTTTATGGTAACAAAAATAAAATAACTTGATTTTTTTGAAATTTTTGAAACCGGTCCTGTTCAAATTTGCATAGATATTTTTGAAACATTAGAATTGACAAAAAAATCAAATATCAATTGACATTAATCAAAACAACTGTAATCTAATTAGTCTAAATGGCTCATCATTAACGAGCCTACAGATATGTTGATATTGTATGGGCCTATCAGAATGCTGCACGGTATCCAGAAAGTACAGAGAGCAAAATTTGGAGTACAGACGAATTTGGGGTGCCATTTACCCCTCGATTTATTGTTTTTAATGTACATCCAGTAATTAGACAAAGTACTTAAAATGTTCGTAAAGTAAAATAACAACAAAAGTAACATTATTGAAAATCTGGCAATAGCAATGAGATGGATTTTTAGAAGCACTCATCTCAAAAAAGCAGATATAATTTTAGAAAACTAGAAAAATTGTTTTCGTTAATAAAGACAGTTTTCTAAGAGGATTTAAGCTAAAACTCTTAAGAATAATGCATAGTACCTCGTATTAAATAGAATGCCTCAACTTTGAGAACAAGCTGTATATGCAAAATTCAAAATGCATGCGTCTTTGTTTCTCAGAAATTCTTTATTAGGTATAAAATATTTACTTATATTTTTATTTATATGCAATTGTTTTAAAAATATGTATCCCTAATAATATTTAAAAATTTTGGCTCTAAATGTTTTAACCAAGGATCAAGCCCTGGTAAAAAGGGTCTAGATTCCCCATTGATTACCCACTTACATTTATTTTTTACATGTCCGTCTTTTTTTTGTTTCTACTTGGTCCATAATTTGTAATTTATTTCTACTTGGTCCATAATTTGAAATTTAAAGAACCCTTTTTTTCCAGACAGTCACTTCGATCGCGACTTATCTGGTTATGTTAATGCAATTCCGGTTGACTTTGATGCGGAATGCTCAGCTCGCTGCAAGAAGAGCAATTGCTAACGTCTCTGTATCCTCGGGGAATACAACCATGTCCTAAACACTTTTCTTTATAATACCAGTGTCTGGTATTTTCGTGACATTTTATATTGGTAGGTCATGTACGGACAAAGCTTATGGAAATCGGGGGTAAATCCCCCGATTAAATATTTATACGGTGTAGGCACGATGTATAATTGCATGTTTAAAACATACCCAGCTGCACCATCCCTTAATGAAATTTTAAAAGAATTTTTTGTACACTCGCTCCAAATATATCATGATTTTTAGATCCATTCTAGGTGTAACCAAGCTTTGTAAACCTAAATTTAGTGTTATAATAAATTAGGTAAGTGTTCCATTTTATACTTTCACATCCTTGTCCCCTGATTTAATTGGGCGCACCCTTGCTAATGATCTCTGATATTATCTCGCCTTACAAGGGGTAACGATTTGTATCCGTTTTAAAACTGGTGGATTTATGACCGTAGCGTGCTTTCACACATTGTTTTAATTTATTCCACCTCATGTTTAATTCAAAACATTTTTTTCGAGTTTCTTTATGTACTCTCATTTTCACCACGAACGTATTCGTTTCTTCATAAGTTAATGGTATCTCTTTATTCTATTGATAGTTAGATTTGCATTTCTACTAAGACTACACGTTTTATAGTGTGCATTGCTTGGAATGGGTAAGTAAGGAATCGAATAAAACAATTTTCCGACTTGATATGTTTATTAATTCTATTACACATTGATTCAATCTATCATTGACAAGTTTTCTCTGACATAATTTTTAATTATTCAATCATCTCCTAAGAGTTTTATAGTATTAGAAGTGACGGCACATTTGACGGATTATTATGGATTGTGAAACTAAATCGAGCTAACGGAACATGCTTATCCTTCCAAATAATTACAGTTTGATACGTGATTGATCATTGATGGTTCAATTTGCATAAAAATTGTTACAAAATTCAAAAAAATTATTAATTGAGTAATATACTTATTATTAAAAGTGGGACTAGGTGGGTATTTGACATTTACTGGTCATTGACACTACTACCAACCCCGAAAAAGGAATTGTCACAGGTACTGAAATGAATGCTTTGATGGTTATTTGAGCACTGAACTGAATGTTTTAGGTTTTAACAACCTTGTTGTAGTTGCAAAATGGAAAACGCTGATGGTATCGCAAAAATTGCCGGTAAACCATTGAGAATGGTATCATAAATGACGTTCGAATGGCCGTCGGCCCTCGTGTGGCGCCTACCGCAAGAAACTCGTGTGCAAGAATGTACCGCTTCAAGTTTTCGCAGCACGTGTTTATTCCACACGTGGTTACATACATTTATGGCCCATTCAAATGCCTCGTGAATTTCAAGCGCTTTTTCTAAATATTTCCCATGATACATAACCCCGCAAAGGCGTTATTAAGTTATTTGCGCGGCTGAGTTAAAACGCTGCTACCATTTAATTACATGTCATTTCGTCTTTGATGTGTTGTGTTTAATCTTGAACTCATCGGTGCAATGACATAGTCCCAGTAGGTGTGAAACACTAATACATAACTCTTATCAAATGCTAATAGCTACTGTGAGTTTGTTGGAATGTTTGGGTCGGCTGAGACGGGTTTATGATTTATTCGTACCACCCATGGACAAAGATAATCACTAATTAAATAAAATTGTAAATATTGTGGGTGAGGAGGGTTTGTTTTTGAAAACTATAATTGACTCGTCAATTCCAAGTTAATTATGAATTCGGATGGGCGGGTGGAATACCATGGATGTTAACGAGATACGTGAAACTTTATTGCAAAGGCATTGGGCATATTAGAGACGATTAAATTTATTGCTCTACATATTCTAGTTACAGATGTTTGACTCAATTGAACTTGACTCATGCTGAATGATTCCAAGCCCATCTAATTCGCTACACATTAGACGATATCGCAAGAATTCCAGCTACTTTATAACAATTATCTGTCCTCATATCGTCATGATTTAATTTTTTATAATTATTTCCAATAATCGCATCCACACATCCATTCATAAAACTGATTTAATTAATTATAAAAAAAATGGAAACAACGACCGGATTGAGATTCTGAAGAAATTTAAGATAATAAATCATCACTTGAGAGTAAAAGTGATAACTGATAACCCATCCTTCTATAATAACAATACTATAAACCATGAATGAATGACAGTCGTTCATATTTAATTTGATAAATGTAATCGTAACATGATTTTATGGACAAATGATGGAATTTTTAACAGCGGCGAATTCAAAAGAAACTTAATTTGTCGAACGTCACAAGCTTCCATTTTGATTTTTCATTAATTAGAACGTGTTCAGCGACCTGAAAATTGAATACGTTGCTCCCGCCTTATTTTATGTCAACAAATTAAAGACCTCCTGGAGGTCTTGAATGTTTTCACTAATGCAACGGAGCGAACGATGTGATGTGCGTCATGACTAAGAGGTTTGATTGTTGAAGAGTTACCAACAAGAAAATTGCAAAAAACGGAGATTTAGACCAAGATTGAGGTCAATGGTATGATAATGAGACAGGAATCCAAATGAGTTAAAGAATTCTAATCACTTTTGGAGTGTGCTTTAAAATTTTTAGAATTTTCTAAATCTAGTATTTTTCAAATAAAAAATTACATATTTTAGAAATAAGAAGCTTCCTCTTAATTAGTTGAAACTTATAGAGACAAAAAAAAAGTTTTAAATTAGGAAGGTACAACTAAGAAAAACATTTCCCTCAATATTTATATTCTTTGCTAAGATTGAAAACATTAAATTTAGTGCTTAATTTCAAAATTCACATGGATATAGCTCTATGGAAAGGCAATAATTTCTAAAAATAATACGATAACAATTAACAAAATCAAGTAAAAATCACAATTCCGCACAATTTCTGAGCAAAATCCGGAAATGAATAGTTTTTTTGTCAACTCATCATCAGATATTCAGAGCGGCTCCAAAATTGACAGTATTTTAGCCTTCTTTTTAATTTATTTGTTAATAAAGCGCCGTAAAACTACAATCTTTTTTCATTTTATAGAAAATTACTACAAATTATCGATAATTTGCACACGTGTTGAATTATTTCGTAATTTGAATCTCATTGGATGCATCTCAGAAATTTGAAAGATTTGATTGGCTTAAATTTGGTGAGGGAAATAGTAGGCCAAATTTTTTCAAAAATTTAAAAAAACTAATAACCTTTTTCGCATTCCTATATCTCAATTTGAAAAAAATACATGAAATGTCCGTGAGAGAAATTTTTGTTTTTCTAAAAAGTGGTTAAGTAGCTGCTTAGAGTAGCTGCTCGAAACCTTACTGTTAAATATGTCTAAAAATTTAGCTATTTTCCTCAGCTAAAATTAAATTCTTCAAATTTAATTGTACTAACATCTATTATATTTAATTATAACTTTAAATGCCCTCAATACGTATTATATATATTTTAAAAACCAACAAAACTATGAACCTGTCAGAACACTTCTTAATTTAAAGTGTCAAAATATTTCACAAAAACTGCCCAATAACTTTTTCAATCATGAGAATGAGCCCCGAAGGCCCATTACGCAACAATGAATATTAATACCGAAAATGGCTCGCTTTTGATGCTAATTAGACCAAACAAGGCGGTAAAAATTACAAATAAATATGAAAATGATACAGCATGTCGGCATTTTCCAAGCCACGATCTCGGTTAATTAATTACAAGTGGCATTAAGCTTGTCATGTTGGGTTCATCGGCTAAAAACTCTCAATCGATTTTGGCGGCAAAAGCCATCACCGGAAACCCAACCTAGGCATAGATTCGCCACTTTCATTCATACGAATCGGGTCGTTCAACTTCAACCTACAGACTCCGATTGTTACTGCATTTCCCGAATTATTGTCGAGGTGGGTCTGAAAAAATTTCAAAAAGCTTGAGGGGACGGTGGAGACGGCTCGTCATATTTCGTAATGTTAATTAGAATCCGTTTGAGGTCAAGGGTGATAGATGGGTGGGTGGATTTTATGCTTGAAACCACGAAACCAAAACTTCCTATGAAGGCAAAGTAAATATTTAGTGGGCAAACAGTTTCCGGTAAGCCCGGAATTATCAAGCTCTATATTATTTTTCCTGACACGTTCTCGAAGAGAAAAGAAACATTACTTTAATATTGTTTTATCTTGTCGCTAGAGGTATATCAATTAATATGAATGTTTACCCACGCTGTCACTCTATCTTATCTCAGTTAACAAATTGTACTTAATTCCATTAATGTTAAGCTGAAAACGAAAACACAAATTTCGGCTCAAGACTAATGACCTTATCAACAAAATTAGGATTTGTTATTTACATGAAACAAAGAGCAAAAAACAGAACAATACAAAAGCATAAATTAATGTAAAAAATTTTAAAAATACTCTAATTTTCTAATCAAATAATTCGCAAGATACTTCTAATAAAGATAGGTATGTACGCTTTTAACAAAAATGTAGGTATGATCATGATTTCGTAAACAATTTTATAATGCTGTCGAATTCATATAATTCTATCAAACCTGTACCCAAAATAACGTCAAAAGTTGGTTGTTAGTAATGTTAGTATTTTAAAAATAAATATAACAGAAAAACTTAGCCACTGTCCAGTCACGTTTAACAGTCTGTCATCTAGTGTGAATGTAATGACCAAACTGCACATAATTGTAGCCTAATTCCGTTATTTAGTTCTTATTACAGGTGTTACAGCCGCATCATTTAATTGAGAAAACATCGCGTGTCGAGCAACCCATATTTGAAAAAATCCTGAATAAATCGTGTAATAACACAGTCTGTAGACAATTTGATGACGGTTTTATGCTTCTTTTATTGGCTCGCTCTCCCTCACCAAAATCCAATTTAAGATGCAAAACTTATCTCTCGTTATCAATCAGATCTGGGCAAGTCGCGACAGACTTAATAATTCCCGATCAGATACGCTGACAGCGACCCATCACAATCCCATTTATTTCCCCTTCATGTGATTACTTGTATTTTTTGCATTTTAAC